TTCCTCGACTGCCACACATTCAGCAGCCGCACCGCTCTAAGCAACCAAATCTTCCATCAACTCATCCTCAGCCGCCCTTACCTGGATTGCCTAACCCTTAACTGCTCCACCAAAGGCAAACTCAAACGATAAATCAAGGAAATCAACTAGAGAAATGGAAAAGGTCTCGAAGTCCTTCTCGGAAAACTCATAATTCAACGGCTTGCCCTAAAGATGGTCTACATAGCCAAGCTTGTAGAAATCGACCTGATAAGAAGCAAGTGCCATTTCGTGACCAGTTTTCTCATTCTTGAACTGCATATTTTCCTCAACAAGCCCAGTATGAGCACCCTGTAGCTTATCCAGTTCATTTTTTAGGTTCTCACTAGCAGACAATGCACCTTGCAGATCCACTTCCTTGGACTTAAGTTTACTGGCAACCTCCTTGAGATGAGACACTTCAGCATGTATGAAGATAAGTTATTCATCATTCGCAAAACAAGCAGATCGTAGCTCCGAATTGACACGTTCAAGATCCTCAACCACTAGAGAAACATGACTGACTTCTTTCTTTACAACTTCCAACATCACCTGAGTCACACTAAGCCTAGCATTCAAATGGGCGACCTCTTGATAAACGATCTCCAGCTGCAAAACAGCGAGTTCAGATTCGAGATTTTCGATCTTTTCAACAGCAAAGCGAAACTGAGCCATCAACGCCACTTCGGTCTCCTCAGTACACTTGATAGCATCCTGATCAATGAGCAAAGACTCAGCTACTAGGTTCAAAGTCTTATGCATTGTAGCAATCAGGAAGGACCTCTTCGAGTAAGCAGAATGCTTTTTGAAGGAGTCTGAGCGGATGGCAACTTTCCCAACACTGTCAACAAACTTGCCAGCCTCAGACTAGGTCAGCCTTCAGCAGCGCACAAACCTTAGGAAACTTACCAGCCTCAGACTAGGTGGATCTCTTATAACTGCCCGTGTGAACAGATTTCCCCTTCTTAGTAGATGAGTCAGTCACGGCAGAAGAAGAAGCAGGCCCATGCGCCACCTTAGCAACGAAATCCACATTCTTGCTCTTTATAGAGGCGAGCCTTTTAGAAGTAGAACTAGACTTAGCTCCTGACGGAGGCTTCGATACAAACCCAAATACCGAAAGTGTCACCGAACTCTTTCGTTGGGCAAGTCTATCAGCAATGGATGCGACCACCTTCGAAGCAGCAGGTGTCACCCCATTGGGGGAAGTTAGATCAATGACAAGCTTCTCGGCAGCAGATGAGTTCCCACGAGTAGCAGAAGAAATCCTTGGCTTTTTCTTGGCCAAAGGCTCACAAGCAGGTGAGGAAGATCTTTTCTTTCCACCCTCATTGGCAGCAGGCTTTACAGCAGCAATTGGGCGAGTTAACGCTTCGTCCTTTATCCACTTCATCTCTTTATTTGGAGGTAGGCCACTTTTCTCCCGACGAAGAGGGTTGAGCAGCTAGGGCCACTCTCAGTACTCGATAGGGATACCCAATGCAACATGCACTTTCTTAATATCTGCTGAAGTTCTTGAAGTTGAGCCAAACTCCGAATCTATACAAAGTAAGAAAGATGATCAATAAATTGAAGTCATGGAGCAGCTCAACAAAAATTCAAGCAGGATAAGAATTAAGCAGTTCACTTACCACTGATAAAGGTAGTTGGGACATGCAGCTCAGGAGAAGAGTCAGACTCCCACTCTCCGTTTACCTCCAAGGTGTCTCTCGCCCACTCATGATCACCTTTGCTAGATGTATCAAACAACCTATGGCGAGACCTCAGCTGCCCCACTCCTTCCTTGTGGCCGATCTCAAAGAAGTACCAGAACTCATTATGATCAAACCAAGATCAAAGAACCTGCTCAAGTTCGAGAATCCCACCATCGCACAAAATGCATTTGGGGAACAATGAGCAGGCGCGCATTTCATAGAGCAGATCACCTCCTAGAAAAGACGCAACATGGGAAAAGTAAATCCCATCACGAAGTAGTACGAATGGAATTTGATAGCTCTCTTCCTAGCAGAGACACCATCGCTGCATGATTCATGGCCGTTATCATTTTTCACCAGCTTGACTTGAACCCCTGACGGAATCGCATGCTTGTATGCCTTAAGAAAATCCTGAAATAGTTCGTCGGAATTGATCTTGACATGTGTAGCCTTAAAGTAACCCACCTTGCCAGAAAAACCATCGTGACAGTACACAGGTGGATGATATTCGTCACTTTTACGGTCAGATGAATACCTTTAAAGCCTCTGCAAAAAGTACGAGGGAAATACTTAGAAGGCAACTCGTAAAAAAAAGAAAAAAAGAAAAAAAAAGAAAGGACCGTAGAGCCCAACATCCTAGCTCCAGGCCTCACGACCCAATTCATCCACATGGCCAGGGCACAAAGGGCCTAGCCCACGTTCTAGCTCACCCTACACGCAGCCTAAGTCGTTATGCCCAGCAGAAAGGGAGGTCCGCACCTCATTCTTCTCCTCTCCTTCACGTGCCAGACGCTCTAAAAAGCAAACCCAGACCTTGCGGCCCAGGTCACGCACACAAGAGTGCAGGCCCACGCCGGTCCCTCTCATTCTCTTCCCACCAGCCCATGGTCCAGCCCAGCATCCATGAAGACCCGGCCCAAGTCGGTTTCCCCACGCCAGCCAACCCTTTTGCCGCACCACCTCCAGCCCCATGGCATCCTTACCACGCAATTCACACCTCCTTGGCACCCACCAAGCCATTTTCAAGTCCTGAGACTCCCAAAAAAGAGGAAAGAAAAGAAGAATGCTAGGGGAGGGGAATAAAAATTTCCTCTAGCTTCTCTTCCTTGTTGGAATAATCCAAATTTATTTAATCCCCTGCTTAAGGTAGAATTAAACAGGTATTGGGGGTAATTATTTTTCTTTTCCTAGAAGAAGTCTATCTCCAAATCAAGAAAGAAGATTAGGTTCAAATTGGGAAACAACTTTACAAGCTTAAGTAGCTTGGGATTCCTACACCTATTATCCTTTTCCTGTGTGCAGCACAGTAGGTGTGGGGGCATTTGTGAAGCCTAAAATAATCCCAAGGCGACACGTGGACTTTTATTCAAGAAAGACAAGATTGCCCTTAATAAATGGGCAGGCTTCTCAGATGCTCCCACGCGCAGCTAACATCATTGGAGGACTCAGCAACTGAACACAACTACCCACAGCTCACCTACCCTTGGCAAGGAATTAAAAATAAGGATTAATTACCCGAATCTTATATTTAATACATTTCCAATTGAAGATTGACTCCAATAAAATAAGTAATCCTAATTTAAATCAATTAGGGATAATTACTCCATTATCTTAAGATATTATTCTTATTAAATATCTTGAGAATATTTAGAGAATATCTCTCCATTAAACACTATATGGCCGACCATATCCCTATAAATACCCCATATTCTACCAAATTTTCAGAGCTTTTGCAACCCTAAAAAAGCCCTAAACACTTTACTCTCTCAAAGAAATTAACTTAGGCATCGGAGATCCGTTGACCTAACCCCCAACCTCGTGGGCGCGTGAGGCTTAGGTCTCTGATCAAAGGTGTTGATTGTTTTGTAGGTGCATTTTCTTCAAGATTGAAGACGGCGGAAATTTGCATCTACAATAGTAGTAGAAGTAGGGGCGACGACAACAGTGGTGGTAATGGTGGTGGTGGTTACGGTGGAGGTGGTGGTGGTGCTAATAGTGGGATGTGTTGGTTGGGATGGAAAGGTAACAATGGTGGTAGGACAATGGCAGTGGAGGCGGTTGCGGTTATGGTGGTGCCAACGGTGGCGACAATGATAGTGGTAATGAAAGTTATGGTAGTAATGGTGGCAGTTGCAGTAATGGTGGTGGTGGTGGCGATGACGGCATCTATGGTGGTAGTAGTGGTGCCGGCGGCGGTGGCGGTAGTGATGGTGGTGACAATGATGGTTGTGATGACACTGGTGGAGGTTGTGGTCATGGCGGTGGTGTTGACAAAAATAGTGGTTGTAATGGTGGTGATAGTGTAAAGTTAGTATTTGTAGTGGTAGGTGGTAATGTTTACTTTATTCTCTAAGGGATAGAATGTGTATGGAAGGCTAAACAATGTCATTTAAAAAAAATTAATGAAGGTATTACAACAATTGAAAATAATTATTAAAGACCTAACTCTGCTTTTTATTAAAGCAGCTTTTAAAAACAACCTACAGACTGCTTTTAAAAGCTGCTATCTGGAACTCATTGTTTTTAAAATAAAATAAACATGATATTTTATTATTACCAGACACTTTTTTACTAAGTTAAGTAGTTTTTAATGAAAAAACAATACCAAACGAGGTCTTAGTGAATCCAGCATTCAATGCTCGTAACATTTAATGTTATGTAGCATTGTATTGAAACACGCCTATGTGACCAGTGTAAACAAAAAATTAGCCGATTAAGGTAATTAATCTTATTTAAGAATGTACACGCGTAACTCATGACCCTTTTAAAATGTATATTGGCCTTTAACAAATTGAAAAGACGTTTGACTTTATTTTAAAAGTATTATTTTCTTAATTTTGAGAAAATAATAAATGATACGTGTTTTCAGAGTACCGATAACTTGTATCAAGATCTAATCTATAAAATAAATATTTTAGAACAGCTTGAAATAGTTAATGAGTTTTTGTTTGTACAACATTAACAAATCTAACTCTACGTGACCATAATATTTCGGAGCATCATAGAGCATCCTAGAGTTTTCATTTAAACAGTTGTTGATAATGATTTTGCGTCACGACATTTATCATTTTTTTTTTTTAACAATCGATATTATTTAAGAAAATAGATTTAGTTTCATGATAGGTTAGTAATAATATGATTCAAATTCATTTTTTGACTAGAATCAAACTTAAAATTACTAAACTATAGTATTAAGTGACACATTTACTAGTTAAATACATGAACAACTAATTTTTCTAAATAATTGGATTAAAAGAGGTTTTGGAAAATAAAAAGAAAAACGAAAAAATAACGAGAGAAATCCAATCCAAGTAAGAAAAGGACTTCCCAGCCAGAGAAACCATGACTTTCTTTAATCATGGCGACCCCAATAGTGGAGTCAAACAGTCTCCCACAGATCACAGCTTATAAGGCAAAAACAACAAAACCCCAACAATCGCTCCAAACGCAAAACGGTGCCGAAAACCCCCCAAGTTCACAGCTTCGTCTTCAGGTACTTCCTCCTCCACCCCCTAGTTGGAATCTTATTTCTCTTTCCGTTGATTGCAATTCTTCAATCAGTTACTTTTCGCAGCTGGAAACGAATTCGAATTTGAATTCCCAAATTTGATGTCTTAAGTCGATGGAATTCGAATTTTAGGGTTCATTCAGTTTTTTGTTGATTTTACATTTTCTGGGAAGAAAGATTGTAGCTTTATTGTAGATATGCATGAAGATTAATGTCTTGAATTGGGTTTTTAGGGTTAGGGTTTTTCGTATAATTGCATAGAGTTAGTTAAAATTGGGAATTCCGCAGAGTTAAACTATAGGCTTTGAGCGTTTGATTTGAAGTTGAAACCTTTGGCATTTGAATTTTCAATTGTGAAGGATTTTGGGGACCAATGAGGATTTGCTAGGGGTTCTAATGCATTCATCCTTTGTGTACTGGTGATTGCTGTTGAAAATATTAGTATTTTAGGTATTATATTATTTGGGTTTTCTTATAAGTTTAGTTTGGGCTAGCCTGGTAGTATTCGGGTTAGGTTTGTTCTATATAAATATTATGCTTCGTAGCTACGTAGAATAAGTTTGTCACAATGTAGCCTCTTGAGGTTTTATAGGTGTTTCGGCATTCTAATTTGTTTAATAATATTCTTATTATTTTGTAGTCTTCGTCATCGGGTAATTTGATATTCAACTTGGTATCAAAGCAAATTCGATTCTGCCAAATTTAATCTGTTCTTGGTGGGTATCAATTTGTTCATCCGTTTGTCCGCTGCGTATCAGTTTGTCATGGTATGTTTTTTTGGTTTGTCTGCCCTGTAGTAAGTTAGGGTTTTGTTATATGTAAAAAAAAAAAAAAAAAGATTGAAATTGCTAGAACTCTGAAGTTGAGTCACCAAGCCACGGGTATCGCGTCGCTCTGAAGACTAGAACCCCACTGCTGCAATTTGTATTTGCTGTTCGCATATCGCCAGTTTGTCAGCGTTTCTGTTGACAAATAATGATATGTGACTCCTGTTCCTTGTAGACCAGTCACGCCTGCACGAACCCACCATGCTTGCACCGCTCGAATCTTGACCCGCATCAGATCTGCCACACCTGTTCAGTTATACCAGACTCGCATCACACCTTCTTGAAGCCGTACCGAAGCAAACTGCAACCCAGATCCATCCCGCCACCGCACACCTGTCTGCCCGCTGCTCTCGCCCACATCAGACCTGCTACGCACCACCACCATCCTCACGATCTGCGTCTCTTGCTGCTGCAACCAAACCACCACCACTGCTGCCTGTTTCTTCTGTTGCTGCTAATTTTTCTTGCTGCCAAGTTGCATCTGCTGTGCCTTGTTGATCTGACTATTGGTATGATGTTTTTTGTTTGATTAGTTTGGGACCATGAAGTAAACGAATAGAAAATGAGGAGCAAGGAAAGGGAAAAAAAGGCAAAAAGAGAAAGGAAATAAAAAAAATTGTATGATGTTGCTTTAAGCCCACACGGTCAAAGGGAAAAAAGGTTAAGTTTGTTTTTAGGTCCACACGAGTTGTTGGCCTGTTTGGAATTGTTTTGTGACCGTTATTCTAGTGCTTGGAGTGTTGACCAGTCGAGTGATAGTTGCCAGAATTTGTTGACGTTGTTCATTTGTTGGTACAGCTGAGATATGAAAATCTCGTCCGTTTAGTGACGGGGAGCACTCATGTGATTTCTTTCCATACTCTCAACATTAACATGTAAGAATCGGAATCACTTTGCAAGTCAAGTCAAGTTTGCCAGTTCGCTAGTTAAGTCAAGTTCAGTTCGCTTGTTCGCCAAACGGAGCCAGTCCACATCTGCTTATTTGCAAACCCATGTTGTATACCACCATGAGTTTGATGGGGGGTGTTGAAAAATATTAGTATTTTAGGTATTATATTATTTGGGTTTTCTAATAAGTTTAATTTGGGCCTAGCCTTGGAGTATTACGGTTAGGTTTGTTCTCTATAAATATAATGCTTTCTAGCTATGTAGAATAAGTTCGTCACAATGTAACCTCTTGAGGTTTTATAGCCGTTTCAGCATTCTAATTTGTTTAATAATATTCTTATTATTTTGTAGTCTTGTTCATCGGGAAATCTGATATTCAACTATTGCAGCATCTAGTGATAAATGCAGGATCCGAAGATGTCGCTGGCCGATGAGTTTTCGACTCCTAAGCTGAAGAAAAAGAAACCCTCAACTAAGAAGGCCCCCTTGTTTTTGCAACAAGGGAATGATGTGAACGGGGCTTCTCCACCTCCGGTAAAAGCAGGGCAGAAAGGAACCAAAAGAAAAAAGAACGAAGTTTCTCCGTCCTTCCAGCAGCAGCCCGAGAGGTTGAACTCAGATTCGTTGCCCAACTCCTCTCCATCTGGAAGCGGGTACCGTGCACTGAGGCTCAAGTATTTGCTGCTGGAGGAAGAGAGCTTTGCGTTGGGGAGAGATCTAAGAGAGGTTGAAGATGACGTCAAGACCCTTGAGGACGAGAAGCATGCACTTTTGGACAAGCTTGTTGTGTTAGAAGGGCTCGTTGATCCTTCGGAATTGCATTTATCGTAGTTTATCTCTCGATATAATTACCGGTTTTTGTGGTTTATTTGCACACTTGTAAATGCAATCCTGTATGATCTCAAAGATTAAAGAGTGGTGTTAAATGTTTAACTTCTTTGGCATACTTTGATGTTCGAAAAGATGAATGATATATGTATACAACTGCCTGCCGATATTTGTTTGGTGTTAATGCTGTTGGTGAAACTTCATTCGTTGAATGCAAAAATTTACGTTCTGCAATTCACGGAACCAAAACATGAAAGCAGATGCTCCGTTGGATACAGAAAACGTCGGAGGAAGCAAAAACAAAGAAATTGTGCTATAATCCAGAGTGAAGGGGGAAAATAACAAATAAATATTTCTTTGATATACTTGGTTTAACAAATAATCTCATATCAACCACAAAAATTACAGATAATCTGATAATAATTCTGCATTGGTTTCTTACTGTGTACGGTTTCTATTATCTGCAAGGATAACAAGGGTCCTAATCTAATTTTCGGGGCGGGTTGTGGGTTGCTATCTCAGCAGCCCTGAGTTTGAATGTGCAACTCGGACAACCAGGGGGCTGGTAACTCTTGATCGTCCACTTACCCATGAAAAGAACCCGAATGCATATCCCTTCGATGGTGGAGCAGCCACCTTGAAGTTTACAGTGAACTGTATCTTCTGGCCAAACCTCTTGAAGATTAATCGATTCGGGACAATAGTAACACTGATTCCAACGGGTGAGGACACCACAGCTTTATATATACGCTTTGGCTTACCAACATTGGTCACTGTTCTAGTTACCGAGAAGTTACCTACAAGATATGGCACTGTGATAGATGGATAGTTCAGGTCAGACGCTGTTCGAAATGCCTGCTTACACGTACTGTTGTCTTGTGTGATTTGATGGACTGCCTTCTCGTCATAACCAACTGAACAAAGGAATTCTACGTAGTCTGCTGAATGCACGTCATAGACAAGGCCGGGGTCAAGGACTCTTTTCGGGTTCACAAAGCCTGAGCCATAATCGAATGCGTTACCCCTTCTTCCTTCAGGGTCCACTAGGATGGGTTTGTGGTTCTTATCCAGAAGAGTAGCTGGAAGTTCCAATTGTTGTCAGATTCCTCGGTACAATCTTAGGCACAAAGTGGGATAACTTGAAAACTTTCTGTTTGAGAATTAAACTGACTGCAAGTTTAGTGTAGTTTCAGCCAATGAAATCTTACCCGTAGTCATGATTGCAGATCTAATAGCTGCTGGGGACCATGATGGATAAACAGCTTTGATCAAGGCGGCGATTCCTGTTACATGTGGGCAAGCCATGGAAGTACCAGAAAGAATGTTGAACTGCTTATTCCCTGCTGCTGGGGACCAAGATGCTAGTATATTCAGTCCAGGAGCTGTGACATCGGGCTACAATGCAAAATAGTTATAAGGTTTTCTATAACATAATAGATTACAAAGCCAGTACATTGTGATTTCTGATCATCAGTTATAATTTACCTTCAAAATCTCCGGTGTCAATGAATTGGGGCCTTTTGAAGAAAACGCAGTAACACGAGGTGCAGGTTTCAGTCCCAGTATAGTCTTTGCGGGCAAAATTCGAGACATGGGTTTCCTGTGCACAACGGTCGAAATCAGTTAAACATAAAACTCAAATACAGAAAATTTGAACCTTCATGTTTTAGTCTATAAGACTAACCGTGTGCGTTTAATATAAGATAAAATACGATGCCCTATCCTCTGTTCAACAATAGCTGAAGGGATGACAAATGGGACAGCAATACCCTTATCTGCCCCATCAATGAGAACCATCCCGACACCACCAGCTTTTTTCACTAGCATACTTTTAGTGAGCTTTGACTCTGTTGAACTCTCAGCATGTCGACAGACCAGAACCTTCCCTCTGGCCTTGGTTCTATTCAAGGAACTTTCTAAACAGTAACTGCAACACAAATTGTAGTAGAGAAAGTGTGACTTAAGCACCCTATGCATCGACATCTAAACAGAACTCACTTCCAAGTACCTTTTGATTCACCTGGATTGATACGGAGTAAAATACCCTGCATTGGCTTCAGAGGCGGAAATAATTCTTGCTGAGGTTTTCATTTCGAAGAGACTGAGACTTTCACCCTAATCAAGCATTCAGAACTCATAAGGCTTGCGAAAATAATGCACAAATCTCTCAAACGTAAAGTAGATAGAATTACCGTGAAATTAGCACCATTTTCTAGTATGATATCAGAAGTGAAATCCCTATCTGTTGAACTTGCTGCAACAGTGAGCATCCATGGGGCTAAATTTGTTGCAGAACCGGGGTTTCCTTCATTTCCAGAAGAAGCAACCACTAAAATTCCATGACTAGCAGCATGAAATGATCCGACAGAAATGGCATCACTGAAATAGTCACCCTGAGGAGCATCAGGACCTAGAGACAGAGACATGATATCAACCCCGTCTCTGATTGCATCATCAAAGGCCGCTAGTAGGTCAACGTCATAACAACCAGAGTTCCAGCATGTCTTGTACACTGCAATCCTAGCCATTGGTGCACCTCCTCTTGCCCCTCCAGCTGCCAATCCCTTATAAGTCATGTTTGACACATACCGACCAGCAGCTATAGAGGCTGTGTGACTGCCATGACCGGAGCTGTCCCTTGGTGATCTGAATGACACTCTGGTTGTTGACTCTTCCTCAGCTTCATAACCAGAATTATAGTATCGAGCGCCAATCACTTTCCTATGGAAAAAAGTTTATAACCATTTGAGATTACCAATCGTAAACGTCCATGAAACAAACTAAACAATCCATTCAAACCACGAAACAACCTGTTGCAAGTTGAAGCAGTGAATTTTTCTCCTAATTGACAACGCCCCTTCCATCTAGCTGGCACCGGAGGCATGTTGGCATCATCAAAACTCGGAGATTCAGGCCAAATTCCTGCTCGTGACAGTGAATAATAATATTATTAACGGAAATATTTATTTCCCTTTAAACAATTAGTGTCATAAATAACTTCAATCAGACCAAAAGCATTCATGTGTACAGAAAGCAAAAATGATGGGGCACGTTCGTGCCACATGAGTCATGTGAGAGGAGATAAGACGCCTTCTAATATAAACAAAACAGGGACTTAAGTCAACAAATGGGCCATGAATCAATGATAGTTGACTGAACAACCATATTTTACTGAATAGAGATTGTGTTATAGATCTAGGTCCACAAAAGAAAGAGTAAATTGGTAAATATAATCGTAAAAAAAAAAAAAAAAAAGTGCTCGGAGCTCAGTGCTTACCAGTATCAATGAAACCAACAATGACATTAACTTGGTTCTTGGTGGAAAACCCAGAAATCTCCATAGTTTCTTCACCCAAAAGGCCCATGAAATCCCAGGAATGAGTGGTGTGCAAGCTTCTTTTCGAATTGGGGAAAACCGAAACAACTCCTGGCATCTCTGTCAATTCAATTTACCATGTTTTTAATCACAAAGTCAAGGATTTCTATTCACATTATAATTCCTAGAGGTGGATTGGGAACTTACGGGAAATTTGGAATGCTTGGAGGTCGGTTAACTTGGCAGCAAAGCCTCTGAAGCCATGTCTGTAACTGTAAATGTGAGATGCCTGAGCTTCCTCCATGCTGTTCAAACACCATGGATGCAATTCACCAACACAATCAGAGATGAACAAGCAAACCCAAATCAGTAAAAAAAACACACACACACATATATATATAGACACACACACATGATTTTTATTTAAATGAAAGAAAAAAGGAAAGGACTTTCTGAAAAAACTGACCTTCCAGTGTGCACAGAAGCAAGCATTTCATGGTTTTGTGTCAAAATCTCATCTGGATCCTCACCATTTTTGCTTCCCATATAAACAACATACACCTAAAAACCCAAGAAAAATAGATCACTGAAAAACACCAAAACAGAAGAAAAACATAAAATTAAAGGAACCCAGAATTTAATTTACCTTGGATGAAAGGCAAATGCTAATTTCAGCAGCAAGAACACATAAGAACAGAAGAAGAATGCTGCTAATTCTCCCACTACAACAAAAAGACCCCATTTTTTCAAGTGCCCCACTTTTTTTATTTCCTTTCCCAAAAGAGAGAAAAATATAAAGAGGGAGCCAAACAGTTGGATAAGAGAGGGAGGAAGAAGAAGAAGATGGCTTTTTATAAGGAGAGAAAAGTCTGCTCTTTCTTTTTTTAAAGAGGGAATGATTGCTTTTGCATAAAATTACCCAGTTGCAAAGCAACCGCCGATGATGATAAAACTTGAAGGCAAGATTAGTGGCAGGGCAGGGGTGAGAGACTGAGAGTGTGAGTGAGTGGGTGAGCGGTGGGAAAACCAGAGAGAACCAACCTCAAAAAGTGAAACCCTGAAACCCGGACAGTTAAAAAAGCAAAAGAATAAAAAGCGGGCAAACATAACAGTTGAGGGAGCACTCACTCAAGCAACTCACGCCATCATCATCATCACAATGTCTATCGTTTACTTACCGTTTATATTGATTAGATCATTTCTTTTTTGTAGACATGCTCAACCACCAAAGTCGATGATGTCAATGATCCATTTTTGTACAAAATGTGATGTGCTACTCAATTAATCAATCAGTAAAAGTAGGTGGATATGAACGTAGCTAAATTGTTAAAGCGATGTGTTTTTCATATGTACTTGAGTTTGAATTTCTCTTCTTGAAATTTAGGTTAGTTTGGGTAAGTCTAATGTTTTCAAGAACTTGTATTCGTGTTTCACTTTAACCTTCAATTTTATTATATCAATTGCCTCACGTGTCACACTTGAATCGACAATTTTACCCTTTAATAGACAGAAGGAATAGGACATGCAATACAATTGAAGGATTCTAATATTTAACACCTTAACTGAAGCACCAAATAAGTTAAGTGGATCTAACTTCTACAATTGCACTTTTTTTTTTTTTAGTTTAAGCGATAAACTACACTAATCTACATTAAGAGGAGGGAGTAGATTTGAACTCAAAACAAAATGAGTTGAAGAAAAATACCATAATCACCAAAACAATCCACCACTTACTACAGCTGCACATTCTAATAGAATGTGACCAAGTATGATTACTTAGGCCTATTTGGCTATTTCCATCATCATCGTAACCAACTTCCTCATGGATTCCATAATTATCTTATCTCTAAGATTTGTACACCCGTGGCCCTTTAAATAATAACTATATAATTTACACAACAATTATGCGGTTTTCACCCCAAATATAAAATTTGCTTTGCCCAATATATATATATCATAATTAAGTTAATGGGGTTCAGTTCACGATGTGAACTTGTGATGGTAGTTCTGTAACTCGTTGTTAATTAAAAAAATAATGGTGGAATATGTAGATTAACGTGCATATGCTGCAATGTTCTGCTTCTGAAGCTTCTTTTCTGCTGAGAAAAGGACTGAAGGAATATATAAACTGCAGAATAAATTAAGCCAATTAAACAGAGTACCTAAAAAGGGGGGAAATTATAATTTAATCCCCAAATAATGAATTAATAATTCTTTTTTATTTGCAGAAATATATGGACATGACTAAACAATTAGCCTTGAATTAAGGAAACTCAACTGATACCATTAACAAATAATAAGATCACATAATCATCGTTAATTAGTATAATTTTTATCACTTTCCCTTATCAGCAACTATCGTTTATGTGATCGAAATTTATAACTTCTTCCACCAAATTAAAGACTGCCATGATAGGAACTATTCATTCCTTTGGAGGGGTCAATACATCACTATGAGCTTCTTGAAAGCTTATCTGCCAAGCAAAACCAGTCAAGTATTGGACGCAATGGCCGAGCTGTTGAGGGTGATTTGCACACAAAGATGTATCTACCTACTCAATAGTACTTACTAAACTCAACTACATCGATAACTTTCTCGTCTCTTGATAAATCACGTGAGGAAAGAAATAAAAAAGTTAAATAAAAAACACGCAGAATGCAACTTTCTATCCTCAACCACATTCACAACTTGGACCAAACTGAAACGAATGATAATCATAATCGAGGCTTAAAGTTAGAAACTCTACCTAACTAACAGCTCATACAAAGTTAATCTTGAAGTTGAAAAGTAACCACGTATTATAATTATTGATTTGCAACGATAAAAAATCCACCAGAAGCATGCCAAATCGAGTAAAGGTAACACTTTACCGTGAGTTTGGTAATGATGGTGATTAAGATCACCATTAATTATGATTATAATGAATATATAATATATAATTGTCAAATGATAACTTGGTATCGTATGCACAATCATTGCTAATGATGTTTCTCCGGAAAGGGATCCTCTCCGGATCTCTTCTTCATAATCCACCAAATCAGTGGATCCGTGCCATTGAAATGTGATCCAACGGCTGAAATTATTATAACTTTTAAAGTTGACCCTTGCTTGTAGTCGTTGGATCAAATTTCAATGGCATTGGTTCACTAATTTGGTGGATTAGGAAGAAGGGATCCGGCGGATCCCTTTCCGTTTTCTCCCAAGCAATAAGACTTGAAGGCATCCAATCTCACAAGTTGATAAAGACGATTGTCGATTCACTAATAAGGCAAGCAATTATGTTAATCTTTCCTATTGCGTGTTGCTTTAATACTATACTGGATAATGCTAGAGAGAACAAAATTTTTAAACCAAATTTACAAACCAAATAACGTAGTTGTAGATGATTGAATTATTAATTAAGTGTTGATTAAAGTGTTTGTTTCTTATTTGACACATCATTTGATTTACAAATTTGATCTCCTTAGCATTATCGTACCCTAATTCATTTTCTCTCCACCAAACAAATAATATCATATTTGCAAAGTTGGAGGACTACTAATTCATGCTAGATTTTGATATGTAATTGAAAACATATTTCGAGCTAAATGGAATTTTCTTATAGAATAGTGAGAAAATATAAAAAAACGTGATATATGTTGTAGCCTATTTTATCTGACAGGGGAAGGGGGCCGACAGCAACGAGAGAGATTGGAGAAAGATATGTGTTTGTAGGGTTGTGTATAATTATGTGTAGAGGATGTGTTATAGGGAGAAAAGAAATTTTTCATCCCCAAGGAATACAAGTTCATTTAGGAAAGAATAACTAGAATCAAATATAATCTAGGATTTACACAATCACACTTAAACTAGAAAGTTTATAACACTCCCATTTAAGTGTGTAAATACTGACGTAGATTCGGCATCATGTAGAGGTTGAGGAAGTCTAATTATCAATAAGGTAGGAACTTGCATAAGGAAGTAAGTCTCACTAAAGAACCCTATGGCTATGGTAAAAACCCAAGTAGGGACAAAACCCATAGTTTAAGGAAAAATGCGTGAGTAATGCAAAGTCAAATGAAACGTCTACGAGACGTCATCAAGGATATGATCAACCCAATGTGGGTGCCTCATTAAAACCTAGTTAGGTAGCAAAAACCTAGTGGGAAAAATGCTCCTAATCGAAGGAAAAAGAGTACATTAAGATCAAGCAAGTATACTTCAGGATACTCCCTCTGAGTTTAACACAATTCCAAAGAGAACTAGCAATGTTACAACTTAGAAAGTTTATGCATACCAATTCCATGAACAAGCTTCTGAAACGTCGCCTTCGGTAATGATTTGGTGAAGAGGTTAGCCAAATTGTCTTGTGAATGAATTTGTGTGATTTCAATCTTCTAATACTCTTGTTGTTGATGTGAGAAGAAGAACTTCAACGCAATGTGCTTGGTGTTGTCTCCTTTGATGTAACCCTTTTTTATATGTTCGATGCATGCTGCGTTGTCTTCATAGATCGTCACTGGGACATCAATGACGGGGTAAAGATCGATGAGCTTCAAATATGGCCCACAAGTGATCTCAACAAAAAACATTCCTAAGTTGCTTCATGTAAGGTGAGAATTTCAGCATGGTTAGACGAAGTGGCAACTAAGGTCTGTTTAGTTGACCTCCAAAAGATTGCGGTGCCTCCAACAGTAAAGACATAACCTATTTGAGAGCGTGCTTTGTGCGGATCAGATAATTATCTTACGTCAGCATAACCAACAAGGCAAGAAACGACTCGAGATAAGGAGGTGCGACATCATTTGAGGATTCATAGGGATAGAACAAGTCCAAATCCGTAGTACCCTTAAGGTAACGGAAAATGTCTTTAACACCAATCCAGAGTCTGCGTGTTGGTGCATTACTGTATCTTGCCAAAAAATTAACAGCGAAAGAGATGTCTGGTCTAGTGCATTGAGCTAAGTACAATAAAGCACTTATCACCCTTAGATAAGGAACTTCAAGCTCCAAAATCTCTTCATCATCCTCTTTCAGACGGAAGGGATCTCGTTTGCATCTAGCAATCGAACGACCATAGGAGTACTTGAAAGCTTTGCTTTATCCTCATTAAAGCAGTGTAACACATTTCGGGTGTAGTTCGATTGATGTACCAAGATTCCATTCGAATGGTGCTCTATCTCGAAACCGAGACAGTATCGAGTCTTTTCTAGATCTTTCATCTAAAATTTCAACTTCAGGTGAGCGGTAATTCTTGCGAGCTCTTCAGGAGTTCCGATAAGGTTCATGTCATTGATATATACTACAGCTATTGTAAAACTGGAATGTGACTTCTCAATGAACACACAAGGGCATAGTTCGTTATTCACATATTCCTAACTAGTCAAATACTCCCTCAGACGACTATACCACATTCTTTCGAATTGCTTCAAATTGTAGAGTGAACGCCTCAGCCGAATTGAGAGCGTGTTCCGGGGTTGAGAAATATTTGATCCAGTCAATGTAAGTCCTTAGGGAACTTTCATATAAATTTCTGTATCAAGATCCCCATAGAGATACACAATTACTACGTTCATTAGCTGCATACTCAGTTTTTTGGAAACTATCAAACTGATAAGGTAGCGAAAAGTAATCACATCTATAACAGGTGAATAAGTTTCGTCATAGTCAATCCCGGGGCATTGTGAGAAGCCTGGTGCAACTCGACGAGCTTTGTAATGCACAATTTTGTTCTTCTTATTACGCTTAAGAACGAAAACCCATTTGTAGCCAACGAGCTTCACATGTGGAGGAGTAAGAGCTATAGGTCCAAACACCTTACGTTTCGCAAGCGAATCAAGTTCAACTTGGATTGCTTGTTTCTAGTTTGACCAATCGATTCTACATTGACATTCATCAACAGAACAGGGTTCAATGCCATCACTCAACATGATCTCAATAGCTACTGCATATGTTAATGCATCGTCGATGACCATCTCATTTCTACACCACACATCATCTAAGCTAGCATAATAGACTGAAATCTCATGATTCTCGGAAGGTGGATTCATCTCTTCATTTAAAATTTTCTCATGAGTTGGATAGAATGAGTAAGCAACAGTCGGATTCATGGTAGGCTCTTCAGGTGCTTGTGTCGTGGGTTTCCTCTTCCGAA